CACTTAGTCCTCCTGACCCCCACTGAAAATGGAGACAAGAGCACCTGCCTCACAGAATCGGTGTGAGGATTCGAAAGAGCCACTTGGGGGCGCCTGGGGGGCTCAGTCAGTTGAGCATCCGACTTCGGCTCAGGTCATGATCTCGCAGTTTGTGGGTTCGAGCCCCGGGTTGGGCTCTGTGCTGACAGCTCAGAGCCGGGAGCCTGCTTCGAGTTCTGTGTCTTCCTCTCTTTCTGCTCATACTCAGTCTCTCTCTCCCCAAAATAAATAAAAGTTAGAAAAAATTAAAAAAAAGAGAGAGATCAGCTTGGCTGAGTGTACAAATGGACAGGTAAGCCATACCTCACTCACTGGCAGCATAACACAGAGCTCCAGGGACTAGCACCCAAGAGTGTCAGAAGCTCAGTTGAGAGAAAAACCAAGTCTTGATGGGGGAGTTCCTGGAGACAATATCTCTCTGTTCTCTCTAAATTTTACCCTGCTCAACACCTACCCTCCCCCCCCCCCACCATCACAAAAGGCACTACTGGCTTTTTCATGCCGGGGTCACGACATTTGCCTGCCCTGGGGAGCCACGAGGATACGGTTGAGGACACTGCCCCCTGCTTCGCACCGTGTCATCCTTCTGAGGCCCCATGGGGGGCGTTTCTCGCCATCGCAGAAGCAGAAATCGTTGTGTTACTCAGCCCAGGACCGGCTTCCGAGAAGTCGGTGTAGTGCTGCCCGTGGACCCCAAGCATGGTGGAGTCTGCACCGGCTGAGGGATCAGAACTGAATCCTCAACCCGCTCTGCCAGGTCTCCTGAGCCCTACTGTCCACGTCCTGGGGACCACATTCATCCGGGATGCCTTGGATTTTTTTTCAATCTTCTTTCCTCTTTGAGCTGAAATTTCTTTCTCCACTTGTTTTTTTTTTTTTTTAAACCAAGTTGGATTTTGAGTGTTTTTTTAAGTCACTCTGGACCTTCTGACGACAAAACGGGAGATGGATTGTTAGATTCTAGCCACACGGGGAGATGGAGAAATCAACATGGGCAATGCCACATGGTGGATGGTACTCGACGTATGTTGCAACACGCTTTTCTGCCTGTCCCTTCTCCCGTGCGACAGAAGCCACCCCGACTGGCACATGAGCTCGTGAAATGGCTTTCCCTCCACAGACCAAGGATCTGGTAGGCCCGTAGGGCAGTCCTGCTCACGTCCATTGTCTCAGGTTTCCCTGGTCCCACACGGTGTCATCCCAAGATGTCACACGGGATGTAGCGTTAGCTCAGGAATTGTCCTCTCCATGCCCGGTGACATTTTGTCCATCAGAAAGCATCCACAAAAATCTATCTGGCTGGTCATCGGCTCTGCGTCTGGTTTTCCTCTCTGCACAGAGTGGTGGCCAGTGGGGTCCCCCCAGGAGGAGATAAGGGTCTGCAGTCAGCTGAGGCAGGGCCTGATGTGAGCTGGGAAGCCCCACTTCTATGACGATCTGGGTAGAGAGTGGTGGGGTCAGCTGTGAAATTCTGGGAGGGCCCAGATGGGCCCAGCCCATCTCTTTGCCCATCACACTGCCCACCTCCCAGTGAGGGGTGGGGGTGACAGGTTGGAAGGGCTAGGGATGTAAGGAGTGCCCATCAGTAAATATTTATTGAGCACCTACTCTGTGCCAGGGCACTGGGGATCCATCAGTGAACAAGATAAGCCCAGTTTCTGCCCTCATGGAGCTTATGCTCTAAAGGAGGGGTGGGTGGGGGGGGGTGGAGTAAGCATGAAATAAATAGGTAAGTAAGAAAAATAACGATCATGAGAACGCAGAGAAGATGGGTTGTTGAGACAGTGCCTGGGTGGATAGGTACTCAAGTTTCAGCGGTGCGAGCGTCCAGAAGAGACGCGTCAGGGGGATGACAGGAAAGGAGCGTCAAGACGTGGTCGAGGTTGTAAAGAGGTCACCGGAGTGGAGGGACTGCGCAGCCAGCGCGGGAGGAAGGGCCGCTGGCCTGGATGCCAACATCCGTCCTTCTCCATCATCTGGAGGGGGATCCAGGTTGAAGGGTGGAAAATGCCGGTGACATACTGTCTTGATTTGCAGCTGCACATGACGCGGCCGTGAGACAGCTTCTTGGACACCCCCGCCTGGCCGGCTCCAAGCCGGGAACCTGCCTACTGTGTGCGAGGCCTAGCCTGTCGCCCGAAGCTGCCAAACAGCTGTCAGCTGGTAACAGAACCAAATGTTTCCACTAGTCAGAACGTCCAGCCCTCTCCTCAAGTGGAGGGGAAAAGCAGGCTCTCGATTTCAACCCAGAAAGGGACGGACAGGTTGGGGGCCAGCTCCGCAGACGGGTTGTTTGACCACCTGGCCACCGGGCGTTTACAAATAGAGAAATACACTCCTGAGGCTCACTTGAAAAGTTGCATACGTTCACATCGGCAGCTCTACAACATGAGGTTACGGTTCAAGAAACTCACACTCCACACCAGCCTGTGTTTCCCTCTGAGTGAAGGGGAAAGTGTGCAGTTAAGGGCAAGTGACAGCCTCCAAGTGAACACAGGGGAGTCAAAAGAGCTAGGTGACTGGCCTCTCTCTCTCTCTCTCTCTGCCTCTGCTACTCACCAGCTTTGTGACCCTAGAAGAGGCAATTCACTCCTCTGGGAACAAGGAGATGCCCCCCACCTTCCCCTCACCCACTAACGGTTGCTTTATGGATCATTCAAGTCAAAATGACTCGAGGGGCCCTGGGTGGCTCAGTTGGTTAAGCGTCCGACTTCGGCTCAGGTCATGATGTCACTGTTTGTGGGTCCGAGCCCCGTGTTGGGCTCTGTGCCGACAGCTCAGAGCCTGGAGCCCCCCTCGGATTCTGGGTCTCCCTCTCTCTCTGCCCCTTCCCCACTCGCACTCTGTCTCTCTCTTTCTCTCTCAAATATAAACAAACATTTAAAAAATTAAAAGAAAAACAAAGATATGAGAGTGCTTTGCAAACGGTAAAGTGCCAAGGAAGAAAAGTCATTTTTAGGTAACAACCTTTGAGTCAAAGCATTTTCAACCTTGATCCTTCTTGCAGCTTCTGTCCTATCTTCCGGTCACCATTTGATTCGTTTTACTTCCTTTTAGGATTGCTGGGATAAAAATCGAAGGTGTTTACGAAGAGGCTGGCTTTAAAAAATAAGACAACCAAGTAATACTTATTCCAAGATAAACTGTAATGGCGGCCGATGGTGTCCGGCCAGACCCCACGCACCAGGGCGGGCACCCGCCCCACTCACCGCTGTAATGGCGGCTGCTAATGGCTCTCAGCTGCCCCTTCTCTGGAGAACTGCCCTCTGAGTTTTGGAATATATTTGAGGAGTTACACCCTGTCCCCATGCTGGCCAGGGTCTGCCCACAGCCAATTTCTGACTAATACATGTAAACAAAGTCTTGTCCACCTTGCCTCAAAATGAGACACCCCAGAGCTCCCCATGGGGTCAGGCTGAGGATAGACGTTAGCTGAACCCACTCCTTTGCCAAGCTGCCCTGTCTCTCACTATGATGGACTTTGTCCGAAAGCATTCTCTCAATGTGTCGGTTGCACGAGCATCCTTCTCTCATGATCTGCTCCTGGGGAACCCAAGCCAACACATTCGGTACCAGCTTTTATCCTAGTAAACAGATCCTCAGGACAGAATCTGGGTCTCTTGTCAGCCAGAGGGTGATAGTACCCCGTCCCCTGGTAGTAGGGGCAATTCCCGGCAGGCTGTGGCAGTGCGGTGGCCGAGGACTTTGCGTTGACTGGGACAGTACACAGGTCAGAAGGAGACGCATTAGCCTGTGAAGTTTGGGAGGTTCAGGAGAGGGAGTAACTATAACAACTGTGCAATCGAATGACTGTTGCTGATGTCACCGATGATGAATTGAAGGGAGAGAAAACGATACACTCAAATTGACTGATCTCCAGTGAAGAGCCAAGGGCCGCCTGGGTGGCTCAGTTGATTAAGTGTCTGACTTCGGCTCAGGTCATGATCTTGCAGTCCATGAGTTCGAGCCCCGCATCGGGCTCCGTGCTGACAGCTTGGAGCCTGGAACCTGGTTTGGATTCTGTGTCTTCCTCTCTCTCTGTCCCTCCCCCACTCACGCTCTGTCTCTCCCTCAAGAATAAATAAACATGAAAGAAAGAAAGAAAGAAAGAAAGAAAGAAAGAAAGAAAGAGAAAAGCGTGGGTTAAAAAAAATAAAAATAAATAAAATAAACAAACAAAAATAAATAAACAAATAAGTCAAATGTGGGGGGTCAGAGGATGCCCTTGGCAGTGTTTCAGAGACCTTCATCTCACAGCGTGAGGACAGACTGTGCTGAAGTCCCCACACAAGGATTAATTGTCAGGCAGCGGAGGATCGGAAAGTTCCGGTGAGTCTCCTATGCCAATGTCAGGGCAAGGAAAATGTTAACTCTCGACCCTTGGACTGAACACACCTGAGTAGGTGCAGCCAAGAACTTTGAAGTTCCCTCGAACGTTCTGACCCTGAATGGCCCGTCCCCCTCACTAGAAGGTCATGGGAGTCCCTGGCTGGAAAACTATGCAGGAGCCCTCAGGTGGATTCCTCCTCCAAATCTTCTCCACCTCCTCTTCCAGCCGTGAGACCAGTAGTTGGGGTTAATGTCAACATGACCCAACTGGGGAAGTGCTAAGTCTTCCAATGGAGGAGAGGGGTACTATGTCCAAAATAAGTTTCAGGACTGGCTAACGTGTCGGAACAGGGAGCTGCGTCTCACTGGGACTACATGTGAATGTATTGGATCAAGGAGGTGGAACCGAAATCTGGATGGGGAGGATTTTGTTGACATGGGGCACTCTTCTATCGCACAGGATTTAATGTCTTGACAAGGGACCCAGGAAATGATTCCACTACATTATTCTTAGAACTTTGACCTCATTATATGAAGTAGAGATTCCAGACTGTGATGGAAGATTCCAGAAGAAGAGATCAAAAGACTAACACAAGTGAGCATCGTATAACATGTCTATACATCACGCCAGAAAGCCCAACACCTGGCTGTGTTGGAAAGGCTTAGAGGACCCTGCGATGACCAAGGCCATTTGAAATGCCCTGGTATGAGAGGCAGAGGCATCCCTGAGAAGTTCCACAGCGGTGGAGTCCTCTGTAATCAGGTCCGATGGTAAGACATGCTGTTATAAATTGGGCTACTTGGTTGCAGGGGTGGGGGCGGGGGATGATAAAATCCCCAAAGAGCAGAGAAAGGTGGCAGCATTTAACTGTTGGAAACAAGATGGGAATAATTACCTTAAACAGGCAACTGAAGGTTCCTAACCCACAAATATCTGTGGATGTATCTAATAAGACGTGGTGTTCCTAAGGCAAGATAACTAGGAAGCCCCCGCCCAAAAAAAGGGCATCAGTTAATAAATTAATATATTATCAAAAGAGATCAAGCAGAAAGAGGACCAGAAGGCTGATGTCAGCCACTATGATTTACAAAAAGTCACGATCCCTTGCTCATTTTTAAGCATGGATTCTCAAGAATCTACCTTTATTTTTTTTTTTTTTAAGAATCCACTCCTTAAAAAAGAGCTTGAGTCCCCATGAGGAAGGACCGTGTAACACCACAGCAAGGGTAAACAGAAATGACGTACCAAGATCTTCTCGAAAGGAACCAGTGGCCACTTGCATGGCTAGTCTTACACGGGGGGAAAAGAAATACCCATATCTTTGGAGGCTGACACTGCAAAGTGTCAAGGCGTTATCACAGCTCCCCTCTGAGGGTAGAGGCGTACGGGAGTCGGGCCAGGCCTCCGGTAAAACTGGCGGGTCATGGTAGATGACAGTAGATGACCACAAATGTAACCAACTGGCTTCTCCAGCTGCAGACTCCACGCCAGACACTGCCTCTCTCCTCGAGCGGACTCGGACCAGCTTCTGATACGTGGATTGTAGCTACTGACGTGCAGAATGCGTGGTTTTGGGATACCTGTCAGGGGAAGGGATCAGAAACAGCGTGCATTCGCATGGGATGGACAACAGCTTTGTCACTCACAGTACACTCACAGCTTTTCCCCAGATCTTAATTGTGTCCCATTCTGTCACCATGCAAGTCGAACGTACCTCAGGATCTGGACATACCTCAGAATGTCCTATTGATCCCCCACACTGATGGCACCGTGCTCAATGGACACAAAACATGAGCTCCGGAGGTAAGGACCACCATGTAGATGACGTCTTCAGGGGCCCGGGGGTCTAGGGTACGCTGGGACATCCCCTCAAAATGAGGCACAAGCCATTGCCCCTGCAATCGAGGAAGAACCACGATGGCTGGTACGCTACCTTGGTACACGTACTCTACGTTTTAGAGTCGGCATATTCCACTCTTGGCAATACTGTGTCACCTACTTCTCAGGTGGCACGAGAGGCTGCTAGTCTGAGTGGGACCCAGAGCAAGGAACAGCTCAGCAGCAGTTCCGGGCTGTGGTACGAACAGCTCTGCTGCCTGGGCCACATGGGCCAGTAAATCTGCGCTTCTAAAGGTACAATGGCAGGAAAAGACACTGTGGGGTCACTGACAAACTGTACTAAGAGAGCCCCAGTGCAGACCCCTAGGACTGAAGCAAGGCCATGCCATCTGCAGAAGAACACTCGAGACCATTTGGAGAGTAGGTCCTGGAATGCCAATGGGTCCTGATGGGGTGTCTGACCTCAGGATACCAAGTGACTGTGCAGAAGGGCTGTCTTCTGTGCTGTCTGTCACATGCAGAATGCTGTCCGATTCATCAAGCCGTGGAGTCAAGGGTGCCCCATGGCAATCCTTCATGAGATAGAAGTGATACATCTGACACTGGGTTTAAGCAAGTCCAGAGGTACAAGGATGTTGGACAGACAGGTGGCACAGACATCCATGGCACCCCAGCTCGTACTTCTTATTCGTGGGTGGTCCCTAAGACTGATGGACGCCTGAGGATATGGTCGATGGGTAGGTCAGTTCAGAGCATTGGTGGGAGACAAAATGGACTGCCTTCACCTATAGCTTGACTCAAAGATGGCCCTGAAAGACAGAGGTGAGGAAAAACCCTCCAAGGGCTCATGAGCTTATCTACTTGGTTTGAAAGGACAAGTGGGCTAAGGTAAGGATTTACATAGACTCATGGGCAGTGGCAATGGCTCATCTGCTTGGTCAGTTTCCTGATGTCCACAATGGGAAAAATGATGCTGCGATTGTTGTGGCTGTGGTTTGGCACAGTCCGTGCCCTCGAGGAACTCATCACCGCGTGAGGGAGACGCACAGGCAAACAGACAAACACAGTGCAGGATAGAAGATGCTAGAACTTTGGGTGAAGCACAGTGACCCTGGGGGGGGATCACTCTCCTGGAGATGCTCTCCTGGAGGAGAGGGCAGGCTCTCCTGGAGATGAGCCTACGTTTACCAGGTGGAAGGGAGAAAAGATCATTCCAGACAAGTGGAACAGCATGCGCCAATGCACTGAGGCATGAAAGTGTTTTCAAAGCATTGTAAGCTGTTCAGCATGGGTGGGAGGCAAAATAAGAGGTGTGGGTAATGGAGGGGGGGCAAGTCAGAGAGGAAATTGCGCCAGACAGATGGACGGGCCACCAGGTCATGAAAGACCTTCAGGTCATGCTCAGGGTCAGGGACAATGTCCTGCTGGGATTGAAGACACTTTGAAGGGAAGTGTCCTGACCTTAATGGAAATGCCTGTAACCTGAGTGAAACTGGTCTTCCTTCCATAAAAATACAGACCTTATTTTTACCATAATGGATAGCGAGGTGGGACCCTGCACCCATTCCTCAACCACTCTCATGTCTGCCAACTACAGTTATGAGGGCTGAGAGCCACCTCTCTCTGCTCTCGGGTCATGAAACTAGAGCCACACCACACCTGTAGGTGTGGGACCTTTACCTAAATCACTTAAGAGCACCATAATGGGCTCAGGAGGCCTTACATGGCCCATGGCCCCAAGCCCCACTGCACAGCAGCCATGTGGTTTGGTGAGGAGTCACCACCCCCCACCCCAGCTCTGAGGGTGGAACTTGATCAGACAAAGCCAATTAAAGACCTCCCACCCTCTCCCAGCCACACTGAATAGCTTAGAGGGGGCAAGTGACTTGAGTTAGCGCCATCACAATAAGGCACAAGACCCCCATTTGGTGGCTGAGAAAAGAGAAGCCCTTTGTCTCCCCCAGACTCAAAGGAGAAAGCATGTAGCTCCAGGAGCTTCTGGCAGCCACCTGGCTTCTCTGAAGGAAGCCTATCGGAGGACAAAGCCAGCAAATGACACCCAGCGCAGGTGAGACAAGGAGACTCACAAAGAAAACGGAGCTTCGGGCTGCTGATTTAGGAACTCTGGACCAAACAACCCTGACATCTGGTCTACCTCTGAGCTCCATTACGGATGCGCCCCACCCTTATGGGTGAGTCAAGTGGAAATGAGCTTTCTGATGTTTCCAACACATTGGGTATTCATCTTACAGGACCTTCTCAACATCACATCATCACCAAGAGAAGGACAAATCAGAAGCCAATTCATTGAGTAGCGATGTCAGTCTTCCCTGAACAATTCTGAAGGAGCAGCAAAAGAGTTCCGTGACACAAGTAGAGTAAGACATACTCTTTGCTCTTCTGTCCCCTAATTCAGTGACCATTGCCATTCTCCGCCCCCCCCACCCTACTTTCTCTCCATTGGCCCAGCTTTCCCGTACACCCTACCCCTCACCCTGGGCTGCCAAACAGAAGCCTGACAGATGCCAGGGCAAGTCAGAGCCCTCAGAAGGCGGAGTGGACAGGAGGATAAGGAATGCCAAAAAGTTTAGATTTCATCCTGGTCTCTGCCTCCCTCTTTACAAAGGATCCTCCTCAAAGAGGGCATCCTTGCAACCCCCCCATTTACTTTATGGAAGAGTATAAAGAAGAACCAATCATGGATTTCTTTGATCATCCCCTCTTGCAAACATCAGCCAGAATCCAGTCCTTTGTCATGAGATCCCCCAAGTTCAAGGCAGAGTGGGACAGTGATACACACGAGGTCAGGGGCTACATTGTGCCCTGGTTGGCCCAAGGACACAGTGAGTCAAGTGATCGCCATGATCCCTGAAGACACAGGTCAGGAGGAGGGGCTCTGGAGGTGAGCCATATGGATTCAAACCTGGCTCTGTCATCTTTGCTGTGTGACCTTGGACAAGTTATTGACCTATCAATAGGTCAATAGTTTCCTTGCCTGTGAGACAATGATAATAGCTATCTGGCTGGTGTGAGAATTAACAAGTTAATGCACATAAATGGCTTAGAACAGTTCCTGGCACACAGTGAATCCTCAGTCAACATTAACCGTAATTTGTGAAGATTCTGGTCTGTGGCTCTTGGGTATCGACTCAGGGAGGCAGCTAGTAGGTGGGGAACAAGGTGACCCCATAAACTAGTACTAAAATGAGATCTGAGGTTGATATACCATCTTCCACTGTTTAAGCACTTTTGGGTGCCCTCAAAAGTATCCTGAGACAAGGGTTGGGTGCAGGTAGTTTATTTAGGGGTGTCAGGAAACAGGGAGGGGGGTGATGGAGCAGGGAAGATGGAGAAGCCTATATAAGCATTATCAAAGTGGGTAATGGGAATTCAACTCGTCCAGGACCTTCTGAGAAGTATGTGGGAGGCCTCTGTACTGAACTGAATAGTGTTCCCCCTAAACTCATGTTCACCCAGAACCTCAGAATATGACCTTAGTTGGAAGTAGATCTTTGCATATGTAATTGCTTCAGTTAAGATGAGGTCATACTGGAGTGGGGGGGGGGGGGCGCTAAATCCAGTGACTAGTGTCCTTTTAGAAAGGTTATGTAAAAAGCACATGGAGAGAAGAATGTGCCATGTGAAGACAGAGGCAGAGATTGGAGAGTTGCATCTAGAAGCCCAGAAACACTAAGGACTTCGGGAAGCCACCAGAAGGGAGAGAGGCATGGGACCACTCCTCCCTCAGAACCTCCAAGAGAGAATCAACCCCGCCAACACCTCGATCTCGAACTTCTGGCCTCTAGAACCACAGGGCACTACTTTTCTATTGTGTTAAGCCCCTCAGTTTATGGAAATTCGTTCTGGCAACCACAGGAAACTAATACAGCCTCCCATAGCTGCCCGGCCACAGGGCAGGAGCAAGGCATCTCTGCCCAAGCCCGCAGTGCCCCCCTGGTTGAGTGGGGTTGACCATTTTCCTGCACTTCAGGGATATACTTGCAAAAGGGCCAGGGGGGTGCCAAGATACTGGAAAAGTCCCCGGCACAGATGCGGAAGGATCCCCAGAGCTGACTGGAGCAGGAATGCCTCAGAGCGGGGGTGAATCTGAGCTGGGAGAGAACTGGGGGCTGTGGGTCAAAATCAGAGGGGTCCAAGGGGATGTGACGCAAGTCCCAGAGATGTCTGCTACAGTCACCACCATGGCCAAGGGGGTGTGGGGGGCTGTCCCTCCACGTTTACTCACACTTCCTGCTGGGAGTTTCCCAAGATTGCCCAGGGTTACTTTCATTCATTCATTAATTCATTTATTCATTCATTCATTCATCCCGCACACACTCTCTAAGCTTCCGCTCTGGATTAGGTCCAGGAAGACACCAATGGCTAGATCTGGCCCCTGGGCTCCACCAGCTCCCAGTCCAGTGAGGGGGGCACTCAGATCTTCATGGCACAATGGAGTGAGCTCAGTGGTGGTTGCAAGCAGAGGAGGTCACGGGAGCACGGAAGGCAGACCGAGCTCGGCCGGGCCTGGGGGCTGTAGGCAGGGAGGGACGGCAAACAAGTCTTTCCGGTGCAGATGATGCAGGCGGGGGGAAGAGCATTTGACAGCACAGAGGGCGTGGTGTGGCAGTGGGGAGTGCGCATGAGTGGGGCACCCTGGCATCGGCTGGCCCCCAGCGGCCCTGCCTGCCCACCCTTCCGGGAACAGCAGCCCCTGTTGCCTTGCACAGTGTCCCTCTCCTACTCCGTGAGGCGGTTCTGGGGCTAGAATCCTGGCACCCCACCTCTCCCGGCTATGGGGCTGGACCCAGAGATGGACATGTGACCCAGGCGGAGCTAACAGAGTCCTCGCCTGAGACCTCGCCTGGGTCCGCCAGAGGTAACCTCTCTCCCCCTTTTATCTTACTTGGCGGGTGCTGGGAGCGGCCTGTGACTCTGCCCTCCCCCGTCCCTGGCAGAAGTTCATGGACACAGGTAGACGACGGGGCCAAAGCAAGAGAAAGGCCAAGGAGAGACAAAAGGATGTCTCCCGGTCATATCTCAGGCCAGTTGCCCTCCTGGCCCTTCCCAATCTCACGTGTACACCTCTTTTATGTAAGAGAGTTGGTGTTGAGTTTCAGACCCTTCCAACAGAAAATGTCTGTTTTGTGGGTTGAATTGTGACCCCCCCCCCGTGACCTTTTAAGTGAGAGTTTTGTGGGTTGAATTGTGGCTCCCAAAGGTATGGCCACCCAGAAGCTCAGAGTGTGACCTTATTTGAATGTTTTTACAGATACAATTAAGGTAAGAATCTTGAGATGAGATCACTGGACCTTAATCCAATGACAAGGTCTGATTAGGGCAGAGGAGGAGAAGGAGCAGGGGGAGACAGAGAGAGGGCCACATGAGGATCGAGGTAGAGACAGGAGCGGTGCAGTCATAAGCCTGGGGACACCTGGAGCCTGGAAGCCAGGAGGAACCCCGGCCTGGAACCTTCCGTGGGAGCACAGCCCTACTGACTCCAGGACTGGGAGAGAAGAAGCTTCCGTTTCAAGCCACCCAGTTTGTGATCATTTGTTATGGCGGCCACAGGAAACGGATTCTGCGGGCATCGTGCAAAAAGCCCAGGAAGGATGTGAAGCAGGTGAGGACAGGATCTGCCGGCTCATGTCTGAGGCCAGGTGCCACTCCCCAGTGAGCCTGGTTAAGACTGGGTGACTCAGTCATTTATTCATCTGACTCCTGGGTTCAGCTCAGGTCATGATCCCACAGTTCATGAGTTTGAGCCTTGCACTGGGCTCTGCGCTGACAGCATGGAGGCTGCTTGGGACTCTCCCTCTCTCTCCCCCTCCTCTATTCCTCCCCCCGCCTCAAAATAAATAAATAAATTTTAAAAAGAAAAGAATAAATGTAAGACTGTGCAAACAGCTATCAGACATCGCGGTTAGCGAGGCAGGGAGCGGGGATGGGGCCAAGATGGGCTTTGTTGTGCTGACTCTTCTCCTCTACAGAAGCAAGGCGCTTCCTGTGCACTGCAGAGGCTCCTGACCTCAGCCGTGTCCGATCCCAGCCCGGGCGGAGGGGCTCTGCCCAGCCTCAGGCATCGGAGCCCTGACAGAATCACGTCTCAGTGATGCTCCACCCACGCTGGGCTCAGGTGCCCGGCTTGTGCCCACACGCAATAACACCGCGTGAGTTACAGCGTCTGACCAACGGGGTCAGGAGCCAGTGGAAACATGGCCCTGTAGTCTTCCCTGGAAAATCGTTCCGAGCCAATTCTCACAGAATAGACGGAGGCAGTGGGGTAAACAGTCCCACATGGTGGGGCCGGAGTACCCTTCACCCGGCTTCGCTCACTGTCCCCCGTGGCTGCCCCCTGGGACACATGCCTGGCAGAATGCTCACACAGAAGCCTCTGTCTCAGGCTCTGCTTTCTGGGAATCCAGCACACGTGGTTGTGAAGCAGACCGGTTCATCCATCTCTACATCCTGCTGCAAACGTTCTTCGGGGCCAATGCCACTGAATAGCTGCGTATGAAATAAATCCTGATGAAGCCATTCTCATGAGTGCCCCTTAAGTTCAGTGACTGTGACGGGGGTCAATCGTTTCTGGCACCATAAGGTGGAGGGAATTGTGTCCAGCAGAACTTCTCTCAAGGGTAGTGTGGCTGGAAAGAATCCCAGGAGGAGACGCATGGACTAAGGAATAAGTCCCACCACCACCACCACCAAGGCAGGTGTGAGGATCAGTGGAAGGTGGCAAATTCTCACCTAAGTAGGGAGGGCCCAGTCAACTGCACGTGTTTTGATTTACCCTGTGAAGTTTGGGCCAGAGTGCAATTGTTCTGACCGCCAAGGAGATGCTGAGGCAGGACCTGGGGCCCTTCTCCGTGCCACCCACCTCTCCCCATAAACACCATGTCAATATCTACAGAACACCAGTTGGAAGGTCAAATTGTCAGCGTGCTCGGGGCTGAGACTCATTTTCCCCGTCTTCACAGAGATTCTTCCCTTTTAATATCCTGTAGCATGGTCAAGACATGACAAAAACTTCCTATTCAGAGTTCTCCCTAGAGGCCAAAGGGTTTCAAAAGGGAATCAATGTGGAGAGTAACATAAAAGTCCCATATCTCAACAGGCTATGGCATCCTGGCTGCTGTCTGCCTCCATCTATGCCCATGGCCCACATCACCCAGCCAGCCACCCCTGCCTGCGACAGACGCTGATAAGAAGACATACAGGCCATCACCTCCTCCGGCCACCCCAGGCCCACCCTCCGAGGTCCAGCTTCCCAGCCAAGGACCCAGCTCACACACACACACACACACACACACACACACACACCAGAAAGAGGCAGAGCACAGAATTCATGGATGACCCTTTACAGTAGATCAAGGAAGTACCCTTAGCTCTTCTTACAGGACAGGAAACAGGATCAGGATTGGAAGACAAGTCCTTGCCCCATGCACGCCACAGTGCACAGTGAAGCCACGGTTGCAGACTGCAGAAACCTCACTGCCTCCCTGTCATCGGAAAAAATAAATAAAAAAAATAAAATAAAATAAGCACACACAATTTTTTTGGCCTCGCTGCCCCACACCCTTCTCATGTCACCACTTAATATTCAAATGTGGAGAATTTCCACACTGGAGAATAAAAAAGTCCGAAGATTTTCCCTAGAAGGCCTCGGAGCTTGGTTTCTCACAAATGGCCCCAAGGATGGAAAAAGTCTCCCAAATTGAGACTGGCAGGAAAGTGGGGCCCACTTTGTCTGATATTTCTTCTCTCCTTTCTTGGCACCCGTAGGCTTAGCTCACGCCAATGGAAAAGTCCCAAGTGCCAAACAGTTCTCAGATAATCTGCACGCAGAAAAAAAAAAAAAAAAAAAGCTTTTCAACTAAGACAGCTCATGAGGGATTAAGGCGGGGCTCCAGCCAAAACATATATTTTTTCAGATTCCTGACTTCTTTTTCACGTCAATCAGCAGGCTTGCACCCAGCTTTGGTCCTGTCACTGAGACCAGCACTGGGTTGCACCAGAACCTGGATTTGGGGCTCCAGAAGGTCCCAAGTCTGAGCTTGGAAATGCCCCATGGGAAAGATTGGAGGCTTTCTCGAAACATCAAGGAGGAAGGGTCCCTACTTGCTCCTGTCCAGACTTGTCCAGGAGAGGATATGGGCAGCCAAGATCATCAGAATAAGGTCATGAGACCAAAAGGAGGGTGGTGACCGTGGGCGAGGGTGGGAGTTTAGATCCAGGGAAGAGAGAGAGACACAGAGACAGATCAGCAAAAGACTCCCGGCTCATAGCCTATAATGCGTTACTTGTGTAGATGACATTCACTAGCTATACACTAATCTCTATGATGCTCTATCCGTTTTTAATCCTACATCATGCAATGTCATAGTAACAATCACATTAGTGTATTCAGTTGGCAACAAGTAGTACACAGCTGCATCTCAGGTGTTGTGTAAAAAGGAGGCTTCCACAGTGAGGGCACAGCCCAGCCTCTGTCTCCATGCGCTCTTATTCCGATAGTGGAGATAAGCATTAAAAATAACACCAACGTGGGGTGCCTGGGTGGCTCAGTCGGTTAAGCACCTGACTCTTGATTTCAGCTCAGGTCATGATCTCACAGTTCATGAGTTCGAGCCCCACATCAGGCTCTGTACTGACAGTGTGGGGCCTGCTTGGGATTCTCTCTCTCTTCTCTCTCTGCCCCTCCTGTGTGCACTCTCTCTTTCTCTCTCGCTCTCGCTCTCTCTCAAAGACAGGATACAAAATCAATGTACAAAAATCTGCTGTTTCTGTATGTTAGCAATGAACTCTTAGAAAGAGAAATTCAAAACAAGAGTTCCATTTACAATCGTATTAAAAAAAGAAAGCCCACACACACCTAGGAATAGATTTAACCAAAGAGGGGAAAGATATGTAGACTGAAACTGTAAGATGTTGAAAAAGGACTTGAAGAAGACACAAATAAATGGAAAGATATTCCATGCTCATGGATCGAAAGATTAATATTGCTAAAATGTCCATACTACACAGAGCAATCTACAGATTCAATACAATCCCTACCAAAATCCCAATGGCATTTTTCACCGAAATAGAACAAACGATCCTATAGCAAATAGCCAAAGCAATCTAGAAAAAGAAGACCAAAGCTGGAGGCATCAAAGTCCCTGATTTCAAACTATATGACAAAGCCTTAGTAATTAAAACAATAGGGTATTAGCATAAAAACAGACATACAGATCGACGGAGCAGAATAGAGAACCCAGAAACAAACCCACGCATATATGGCCAATTAGCTTATGACAAAGGAACCAAAAACATACAATGTGAGAGTCTCTTCAATAAATGCTGTTGGGAAAACTAGACAGATACATGCAAGAGTAGAACTGGACCATTGTCTTCTACACAAAAATAAACTCAAAATGTATTAAAGACTTGGACGTAAGGATATGGGCAACCCTAGAAGGAAACTCCTAGAAGGAAATGGGTGGTAAGTTTTAGTGATGATATTTTGGGTTTTTACATACCACGAGATCGTGACCTGAGCCAAAGTTGGATGTTTAACCAACTGAGCCACTTGGGTGCCCCTTGGTGATGATATTTTGAATCTGACACCAAAAGCAAAGCAACAAAAGCAAAAATAAACAAGTGAGACTACATCAAACTAAAGCTTCTGCACAACAAAGGAAACTATCAACAAATAAAAAGGCAACCTACTGAATGGGAAAAAAATTCTCAAATTATATACCTGATAGGGAGTTAAAATCCAAACTATATAAAGAACCCATACAACTCAATAGCAAAAAAAGCAAATGATCCAATTTAAAAATGGAGAGAGAAAAAATTAAAAACAAAACAAAAAAAAAAAAACAGGGGGAGTGCCTGGGTAGCTCTGTTGGTTGAGCGTCCAACTTCAGCTCAGGTCATGATCTCACGGCTCGTGGGTTCGAGTCCCACGTCAGGCTCTGTGCTGACAGCCCAGAGCCTGGAGCCTTCTTCGGATTCTGTGTCTCCCTCTCTCTCTGCCCCTCCCCTGCTCATACTCTGTCTCTTTCTCTCTCTCTCTCTCTCTCTCTCTCTCTCTCTCAAGAATAAGTAAACATTAAAAAAAAATTTTTTTTAAATGGACAGAGGATCTGAACAGACCCTGTTGCAAAGAAGACATACAAATGGCCAACAGGCCCATGAAAAGATGCTCAACATCATTAATCATCAGAGAAATGCAAATCAAATCCACCGGAGATCAACTCACACCTGTTAAAATGACTATTATCACAAAGATAGGCAATAACAAGCATGGGGAGGGCTGTGGAGAAGAGGGAACAGTTGTGTACTGTTGGTGGGAACGTAAATGGGCGCAGCCACTGTGGAAAATAGTATGACGGTATTTCAAAAATTAAAAATAGAACTACCATATGATCCAGTGACTCCGCTTCTGGGAATTTAACTGAAGAGAACAAAAACACTAACTCGAAAAGATATCCACACCCCCATGTTCATTGCAGAATTGTTTACAATAGCCAAGACAACCGAAGAGTCCGTCAATGGCTGAATGGATAAAGAAATTCTGGTGTGTCTATATACAATGGAATATTATTCAGCCAGA